GTATACTTTACGCCGAAAAAGCGAACCTGAAACTTAAATGCGTTAACTTCCGAAAACCATATATAGTCCAACGAAAATAAATAATTGGTACATAACAGCTTTCTTGTATGCAAAGAAAATAATTAAAAATGTCAAAAAAGAGATGTCAACACAAAATTACATAGCCCCTTCAATTCAGAAGATACTACAAACGAACTGTACCTTAACATTTTCATATCCCAGAAGCTAACGTTCCCATGACGAATATTGCTATCGCTAGCGATTGCAAAATCCAACTTGTTTCCATTTCTTGGTGATTTTTGTCTTAATTGGAGCGTGGTCTTCAAATTTTTGAAATTTTTCGAATTTCGTCAAAGAGAGGTACTGAAAAAGCACTTAATTTTTCTGTTAAGGAGGTACTGAATTTGTTGGAAGTGTTGGAAGAAGTTTCTCTCGAACTTTTACCCAAGAATCAATGGTCAAATCGCAAATCCCTCACACATGCAACATCTCAATTTCAACAATCAACTCGCTCAGATGGTCCAACGCTGAGGAAGCTCCTCCACTTAGCGGCGGTCGGAGTCTGCCAGCGAGAAACCGGGTGGAACTGAAACCGATCTTGGACTTGGAGGGCCCACGGGGGCTCCGGGCCGGGGCCCAACACGAGGGCCTCCGCCGACCGCCGCGCACCAGTCTTCACCTATACACCATGTCGAGTGCTTCGCGGTCGTATCGCGGTGTGTTGTGCTTGTCCATTGCCGCAGTTCTGTCCTCCGGTAGGTCCCAGCTCACCTTCTTACTCGTAGTCCCAGCTCGGGACATCCTAAGTGCCAACTATGATTTCGCCCGTGGTCCCGCACCGGAAAGAAATCACATGCCCTCGCTTCACGAAATTTTCGTTTTAAAATTTCCACGGGTGCACACGGAAAAAACGTTCGCACTGGGAAAAAAACACATTGGATCTAGAGTCCAGACTCTTAAAAACATTGACAAGAAAAAATACTCTTCATTCAATCGGATTTTTGCTTAAATCAAGAACCAAGCCTCTAAATTTAAGCGGATTTCGAATTGAATCAAGCAAAAATCCGATTGAATCAAGAGTATTTTTTCTTGTCGATGTTTTTAAGAGTCTGGACTCTAGATCCAATGTGTTTTTCTCCAGTGTGGTTCATACTGAACTTCTACTTTTTCGGTTTCGATAACCGGAGTTTTAGGTCGCAAACGGACCATGCTGAGCAGAAAGGAACTAAGCCACAACAGTTATTGCCGAATTTGACTGGATCATTTTATTTTGTACGGGAGAACGTTTGTGCGAATTCCCCTGAAAATTGAAAGGAATTTACTCCCTGCGATGCAGAAAATTCACTGAGATATGCAAAAAAAAATCTGAAATTACCAATTTCATGTAAAAAATTAAAATTCTCTATTACATTTGGCAAAAGCTGATGTGACTTGGTTCCTTTCTCCTTAACACGATCCAAATAATGATGTTCTCTTCCTCAGGCGCCATGCCCTAATTGCGCCTAAAAATCGGGCTTTGGCACCTAAAAATTTGGAAAAGCCGAGCCATCTTGGTGCTTAAGAGAGTTGGCGTGCTTAGTCGATTTTTTAAACTAAACATTTCATACGCCGATACGTATGAATATAATTAATTTGCTCCTAAAAGATTTTAGATGGCTCCTAAAAATTGAGTTTACCGGCAAAAAAGTCGCACCACTGGTCACAGATGCCGATTCAGCTGAACAAAAAGCTAATCCCGTGACCAATGTTTTTTCCAATGCAATTTTCAGTTTTTTTGAAATCACTATTTTCCCTTTTTCTCTTTTTTAAAAGTGCACTTCTTTTTGAGAAGAATAATTTTAGCCATAACCCATCCGTGGAAGTAACTTTTTCACTGCAGCTACTTTTTGTGAGTTGAGTCGATAGTAAAGAATTTATTTTGATGGAATAATCTCTCTAAAGATCTAAAAAATTGGTTATGAGTGGTTGAAAAATGTTATGTTTCTATATTTGCCATGAAATTGAGGAATTTTTTTCATAATAAACTGGCAATTTTGCGACCTGAACGTGCTAAATCAAAATTTTTAATTGCTCCTTCTCCAGGGTAGGTCTTTTGAATTCCCAACTTCAAACCGTCTTAGTTCCGGTTAGAATGGGGATTTTACGGGGTTTTTGCGCAAAAGTGCTTACAGAATTTTTTCTGTCCTCTAATATCCGCAGCAATTTTTTTAGTTTTTGCGAAAAAAGGTCTTTTTCTATTGAAATGGTCACAATTCTCTATAATCTCGCGGATGTTCGCACGTACAAATTGGGAGAGTCCCTTCCCGCGTAGCCGCCGTCTTATTTTTGAAAATAAGTTGCCATTTTTTGGATACAAGATTTCCTTTTACGCACTACCTTTTGGTACATATACTTCCCTCAACGACGGCTTGAGTTGATGCATTATAAAAATAAAACAAAAATGATTTTTTTGGGCGCTTTTGATTGCCAGATACGCATTTTTCTTGACCTTGTTATATCATACTTTTATTTTTGTATCATATTGGCACTTCGGATGTATGAGTTATTTTTACATACTCTTTGTTGATGAAGCTTTGATGGTAGAGTAACCAAAATTCTCTGAAAGTCAAATTTTAAAATTTTAAGAATGTTTTATACATATTTTTTCGCAAAAAAACTTTTCAAAATATCATACCTTCAAGGGAAAATTTCCATCTCACGAAGACTAATCTCGAATTTATCGATGACATTGGAACAACAAGGGACGGATAAAGGTCTTCTGAAGCCTCCTTTAATCACAGGATAAAAAACTAGATATGTTTGACGAGTGACCATTAGAATGGCATGAAACCAAAAGTCCCCCAAAGAAAGAAGCTGTTAAAAAGACTGTAGTTACGGTCCCTGTAATGAATTAGAGGTCAGATACTTTCAGGTAAAGTGCAAGACAGTAAATTAATTTCCGCTCTCATCTGACAACATAGCACCGGTGGCGCACCGGGAGACGGTATATCCCAAAGCAGAAGACTGTTCGGCGGCACTGGCGCACGTAGGAACGAGGTAATAGGCGACGCCGGACATGGAATTTGTGATTAAAATTGAAAATTTTAGTAATGATTTTATCATGATAAACACTTTAAGGGGTGTTACTTGAGGAAAATTTGACGAGGACACCGATGGAACCACTTTTAAAACTTCTACGTTCCGTATTAACGACGGAATAAGCTTTTAAAGTTTCCACAACATGTCCAACTTCTCCTATTGACTCGATTTATTGTGCGACGGGTCCTCCGTCGAGTAAGAGGCAATAGGCGCATAGAGTAATAAGACCATTAGAACAAAAACAATCGGCTCTTACTCGATTTCCCGTTATGTTTCCGGGTCGACTTCGCCGTGGGTCCAAACTGGGGTGCTCGGTAAAAAACACGCTTCCACGCAGGGTTTTCATTGGACATACGCGGTGCTCGCCGGATGGGGCAGCGCTTTCATCCAATCGAGATGTGACGGCAACGGCAGAGTAAAAACCGGGCTTCCACGTACGGAGAGTGAAAATTCTAAGCCTGGTAAGTGCTATCAGGCGCTGCTGAGATTGTCCAACGGTTTTTTTCATTCAAAGGGAATCTGGTGGCCCATACATAAATACGCTGTCTTAATAGTAAAGTTAAAATTTAGAAAAAATTCCCCCGTAGAAAGCCCTCGAAGCAAGGGCATTTTTATTATTTTTTAAAGGAAAAACACACAAAAAACATCATGCATAACTTTAACAATGCCTGATGTCACTTGGATTGCATTTGGCAAAACGGAACCAGCGCTATCACAGTGTTTTAAAATTGAGCAGCTTCTTCTTTTCTCTTAAAATTGCTTAATATATGTACTGTATTGAAATTTACACGATAATTTTCCTTTAAAATTAACAATTTTTTGGTGGTAAGCAACAGTCATTTGCTATTCTGGGAGATTTTTTAGATAATTATGAAGGAGCAACATGTTTACAACACTGTAATCACGCTGGTTCCTTTTTGCTAAATGGACGTATTTATGCTAAAAGGAACTATGCGCATTGGGTTTGCGTACAACATAGTTCCTTTTAGCATGAATACGTCCAAATGCGATCCACTTATCAGGTTTTGAATTTCCACTCTTCAGCGGTTCCCGCAGCTGCATAGGCTGAAACGTCGTATGTGCACTCGATTGTACCTAAATCGTCTTCGACGAAATACTTAGTTTGAAGAAAATTTACTGATATTTTTAACTGAAATTTTTCGGAGTGTCAGATTAAACTACGAGTAAAAATATCTGCACTGAAAGAAAAACTCCGGCCATGGAAGCCGTGCTTACAGGCTATATAGACGCATGTCCGAGTTGCGGGCCCAGAGGCCGGAAGTTCCGGGTGTAGCGCCTGCAGCAATCGAAGCTACGGCTCCAGCACCCGTAACTTTCGGCCTCTGAGCTCGGATAGGACGGTATGTCTATAGCCCGTAACTTTTTTTTCAGTGTAAGAAATTCAAAAGCGAACCATTTTGCGGGGAAACAAAGCCAAGAAATACCAAAAATTAAAATTAGAGTCAAAAATAAATTTTTAGAACTCTAATGCGCACCAGTATGAAACTGAGGGGGGAGAGTGTTCATACTGGTGCGCATTAGAGTTCTAAAAATTTATTTTTGACTCTAATTTTAATTTTTGGTATTTCTTGGCTTTGTTTCCCCGCGAAATGGTGTGGACCCAGCACCATTTCTCCACCTTGTTACATACAGTTTCGGGCCACTTTTAGTGTTTAATTTTTTAATTCAAAAGCGGAGGTTTCGAGGTCTACGAAATAATTCTTATTTTAAAAGAAGAACTTTGGCAACGTCGCAATTTTCATACGGGGTTTTTTTTCAGTCTGTCAGCTTGTTGAAGTAATAAGGTGCTCCTTAGCTAGGGAAGCGTTTCCATCTAATTGAGATATGACAGCTAAGGATGAGTAGACCAGTGTCAATGAAAGCTGGAACTTTACCGTCCGTCGCTCGCTTGATAACTTTTGATGCATATTTATAGGGATCAGTATCAGGTTTGGGTGGCTCTATCAGACACTTTGGGGCTTAAGCGCTTAGCTGGACGGATCTCAGCAGCTCGAGAAATTTGATCCTGGTGTCAGAAATTTCTTTCGGCCAGGGGCAGCCTCATTTTTTTTGATTATTTTTGTTTATTGCTACTTTTATCCCTTTCATAATGCAGCTCCCGATCAATTTTAAGAAAAATTACATCGATGACTGAATTCGTATAATGTCTGTTTCTATTGCAACGTTTAAATATCACGGATAGGGTTCCTTTTTTAGGAGAATATTAATCGAAATAAATTGAAAAAATTGATTATTTTTCTATTTTTTATTTATTGCTCCAACGGAAAAGTGCAACGTCAAAACTGACTATAGCCAGCCATCAATATTGACTGTGTTTTACTGTTCATATGGAACATTTAATTCGATGATGCAAAGCTGAAAATTAAAATTAAAGATCAATTTCTCTGTAAAAGTTACGTATCAAAATATTTGTAGAACTCATCAAACTTTGAAACTACCCACCTTCAATCATTGAAGGTGACAACCGGTACACCGGCTAGTTATGAAGATTGAAAACGAAGAGTTTTAAGTGAATGTTCCGAAAGGAAAGTTCATTTTATTGAAATGAGACAATTTTGAAGCGTGAACTGGCACCACAGAGCTAGTGCCGAAAAGAAACCCATAAATTACCCGATCTCAATTTTGTTCCGATCGAGTTTAAGAATTTCAACCTCAT